ACAGCGAAGACTTCGATGTTGGCTATCAAAAACTCAACCATCTCGGTCCTCCCTATGGCCGTGAGACTTGAGCCGAGCAAGAAGAACTTGTCCGGCTGTTCTGTATCAATTCGCACCTCAACCAATTCCTCAACAGCCTTGTCTTCGGCCTGGGTGCCCACATCATCCAAGACACCCTGGTCCTCCGGTCCCTCGATCATTTGAACGAATCCTTTGGCAGCCCGACTTCCGTTGACCGTTACGAAGCACTGCTTGGACTTGACTTGATCGCCCCAAATCTCCTCGATTGCCCCCATAGCCGAGGGGAATCTCATCACCTGGTGATAGGTTGACGCTACAGCTTGCCCATCCCCTTCCAAGGATTAGGTTGTACGTCGAAGGCACTTGTAGCACCCAAAACTCCACTTGCTTGACCACGGATCCCGCTTTGACCGGCAGGATAATCTTTCCCAAGGGCCACTCCGGCTGTGAGTTGAAACCAACCAGTGGCGAAGTTGCCGGAGCCAAGTCTGTCTCCCGGAGTTTGAGCTGCTTGAATGCATCATAATACATGATCTCGACCGAGCTTCCCTGATCGATCAAGATCCGTTTAACATCAAATTCCTTGACGTGCAGTGTTACTACTAGCGCATCGTTGTGCGGCGTCTAGATACGCTCTAGGTCCTTTGAGGTGAAACTAATCACGTCTTTTTCTTCAGTCTTCCCCCTTTTGATGGCAGGCTGTACCGACAAAACTTCCCTCATATGTTCTTCCTTTTTTATCATGCCCCGGAGTTCGAAAACACGCTCCAGTTCAACGATGCCGTGGATGACATTAATAACTCCCTGTGGTGGTGCATCTCAGTCATCCTGTCCCCTGGGATTGACCGGAGCCTGATTCGGCTTCATGCCGCCATCAATGTAAAGGTCTAGGTGCCCGGCCGCGACCAGCTCTTCTAAGTGTTGCCTTAAAGGCAAACAATCCTCAGTTCGGTGGCTCCTCTCCCGGTGGAATGTGCAACGATACCGCGGATTGTAGCCCTTTTGTCCATCGCCCAACTTAGCAGGAAACCGGACATACTCCTCGTCTCGAATTTCACTAAGTATGCGATAGATTGGAATCTTGAAGACCGTGGTTATGCCAGTCCTTGTCTTCAACCTTCTATTTGCGTCCGTTACGTCATCTCAGGGGTAGTCATCCAGGTCATTCCGACGTCCTCTACCCCGGTTTTTGCGATTCGAGCCACGGTCTGATTCCTCTGCTCAGTTACTTGTGTGGTTGGACTCTTGCCCAACTGCGTGCACTTTGCCTGCCGTCTTCTTGTCTGTTACTACCGGAATTGCCTTCACGGTAGAAGCTGACGCGTCATCCTCTACTCGGATGTGCTCATTGATGCGCTGCATGAGCTGGCCCATGGAGGTCGGTTGGTGCATGGTCAGCAAATCCCGCAATCTATGGCCGACCAGGAGACCACGCTTATATTGCGTGATTGCTAGGTTGACCGGGAAGTCCAAGATCTCGTTGAAGGTTTCCTAGCACCTTGAGTTGTATGCCTTCAGTGTGTCGCATGGTTCCATCTTGACACTTAGCAAGTGATCGACTTTCTTTGGTGTTTTTGTGTTGGTTTTGAAGCGTGTAACAAACGCCTCGCCCAACTGATGCCACCTTTGTATGCTCCCTTCCGGCAACCTCTCGAACCACTTTAAGCCCAGCTCGCCTAAACTTGACGGGAAGATTAGGCACATAAGTCCGTCATTTCGCCTATGTCCGGCCATAACCTGTCGGAAGTGGCTCACATGCATGTAAGGATCGGTTTTTCCGTCGTAGAGTGTGAACTTAGGCTGGTGGAAGCTTGCCGGAAGCGGTGTTGTTTCTATTTCCAGGGAAAAAGGGGTGGCGCTCAGCCTGGCCATGTCCGTATCTTCAAAGAGTGGCACTGTTTGGTGGGGTGGAGGCATTCCGACCTCCTCGCTGGCGTGAACCCCGTAAGATAGCCGCTGGAAAGCCGGTATTCTCTGAGCTTCGCGCCGGCGAGCCCGCTCCTTTAAGACCGCCCGCAAATCCTCTGAATGAGCGGAATAAGAGTACCTCGACGTCGTCCCCGGACGTGAGGGTTTGTAGGTGCTGTCTTGCGCACTAGACTTTTCTGCATGCGCATCGAAATCACCAACCTGGTAACTTCTGGTAATAGATATGGACTGAGTACGTCGCTGACTCTGACCGCCTGAACGGTGGGATGGGGTGTGCTCACTGTGGTCTCCCACTCCAGCTACACCTTTCCCTTTGACATGCCGCTTCAGATCCTCCATCTCCGCCGCCATTCTCCGGATGACAGCGTCTTGGTCCCTCAACTTACTTTCCAGTCGTCTGGCGTGTGAGTCTCTACTCCGCCGGTGACCGTCTGGACTCCGTGAATGACCATGACTTCTTCCGCGCTTATCCCGCGCGTCTCCTGACTGTCCTCCGGTGGGCGTCCCCAAGTCCGCCATTGAATGGATGGCGGGAGGACCTTTTCTCCTTCGGGTGAACTCCGGGGTGGCTCCGTCTATGGCAGACAACGGAAACTCGTCGTTGTTCGCCATGGACGGCGATCAGATGAACCTGGAAGACAAGGTTTTGTTTGTCAAATTCCCACAGACGGCGTCAATTGTACAGGGAGCAAATATTCCGGCAAGCCCGTACTCCTTTCTTCCAAGCTCCGTTTTACGTCCGATCACCTGCGAGCAAATAACAGTAAGTTGCCCGGCGGTGTGTGGCCGGAAAAACCCTCCGACGATCAAGTTAGCACACACCTTAGGAAAGAGAGAGAGAGAGAGAGGAGTGTTTGAGTATGAGAATTTCCTTACAAAATGTTCGTCTGTCTCGTATGGGGGGCGCAGACATGCTTATATACTCTCTGCGCCCCATATCTACCCCCAGTCATCTCCTGACACGTGGCTCCGCTATCCCATCTGTCAGCGTAAACCTTGCTGAACATCACCTAATCTCAACTGCCTGCCTTCTCAGCTGGAGCTCGGCAGCCGAGCTGCTCCATTCTCGGCCGTGCTGTGCTTCATACCCAAGCACTTTACTGGCTAAGTCCAAGGAGGACCAGGTTAGGCGGCATCTCGGCAAAGCCTAGCCCGGGGCACCTCCTGCGGTCGGCCTTCCTGCCGATTAAATGATTACCTCGGCTGACCACGCCTTTCCGGGCGCCGGTCATTAAGCTTGACTGGCTCCGCCATCGCCTCATCAAGCAGCTCGGTCCAACCGAGCACTGCCTTGCCGAGCAGCTTCTTTACGGTCTGAGGCGGCACATGCTTGGCCCAACTCCTGCCCGGCCCAACTCCGATCAGCCCAAATCCGAGCGGATCGCCGGTCATCTCGGCCCTATGCACCATTTAGGCTCTCAACTTGCTCGGCCGTTGCCTCGGCCCAATTCCAGATCATAAATCTCCCTCTTAACACTATATGATTAAAATTATTCTTCTACATTACATACGGTATAAAAATGCATATACATATATTTATTTAGTGTAAAGATATATGCACAAAAAGTTCATATAGATTTTCTATATAACAATGCTGGGGACTCCCAGCACCTCCCACCTCCACGTGGGAGGCTATAAGAAAAAAAAAATATGGACCAACCAAAAAACAGTGGGGGTGGTGGAGTCTGGGGCATTTTCCTTTTCTATACATCAGTAAATATTACAATTTACAAGAAGCAAATAAAGGGATGAAATTACATAGGGGTGTAATTTTGGCTCGGCCAAGCCGATCCGGGCCTATGTTGGGCCTTGCGAGCTTTCGCAAAAAAATCAGGCCGGGCTAGAAAACGGGTTAGGCTGACCCACGGCCAGAAAAACTAGACCCAGGCTCAAGCCCAGGCCCAGGGGTGTTCGGGCTTTAGGCGGGCAGTGGGCCAGGCCTCGGGCGGGGCCCTAGGCTTGGGCCTGGGCTCAGGCTTTGGGCGAGCCTAAACAATTTTTTTTTATTTTTTCCATCAAAAGTTTAGTATTTTCCATTAAAAATAACATTGGGCCTCGGATGGGTCGGGTGGGCCGGCCTTGAGCGGGCCGATGGGCTAGGCCACGGACCGGGCTTCAAAACGAAGGCCCAGGCCCTGGCTCAAAGCCTCGGGCTGGGCTGGGGCTGGGGCCTTAACGGGCCGGGCCCATCTCGGGCCGTAGACGGGTTTCGAGCCGCCCACGGGCCGCGGGCCAAAATTACACTCTTGCCCAAAAGTTAAGTGGTGTTTGGGATGTTAGCTGCGGATGGAACACATAATGCGTGTATAATTCAAATAATTAATAATAAAAATAAATAATAAATAAATAATTTAATATCATAATAGATATATTGTTTAAGTAATAAATATGTTCTTAACGAAACTCAATGTCTTGGGTTCAAAACTTGCTTACACTGTGTATAATAATTTTTTTTTTTGTAAAGTTGCCACATAACATGAGGAGAAAAGGGTTTCACTAAACTAATTTAGGCATTCACTTAATAATAATATAGATAGATATAGTATAAATACTTTCACTATGACAAATGTCACGTTAAAATTATTATTAATCTATAAATATTTTTTTTTAGGTAAGTAATCTATAAATATTTTATCGTGTGTTAAAAAAAAAAAATCAAATTATACCATTAGTTCTTATATTTTGACACTTATGTTATTTTGATCCCTTTAATTTTTTTACTATCTCAATTTGATCTAATTGATTTAATAGTTAACATTTTTTTTTTAATGAAAAATGTGTATACATGTATCATCCTTTTAGAGACAAAATTATAAACTTCATCAATTCAGTGAGTTAATCTTCTATTTTTTCTAGACCTTTTTTAGAATTTTTAATTTTTAAATTTTTTTTTCCATTAGTCATGTCAAGCCAAATCTAAATGCTTAAAACTTTTCGATAGCACAAGTCAACTTCATTTTGTACCTGCAATCATTATTATTATTATTTTTCTTTCTTTCTTATGCATCTTCTTCATCGTTATTTAATTATTTAATTATTTATTTTTTAAGCTTGTGATTGGATTAAAGAAATTGATGACACTAAGCAAAAGCATGTGGCTGCAAGAAAACTGGCAAAGAAACTGATAGAAAAGGAGAAAAACTGGATTGATTACCCAAACTGTGAAAATATAGCACAACAAAAGAAGAACAGAGTGATAGACCCACTTATACAAGCAACAAAGCAGTGCATCATTGAGATAGTAGAAGAAATCCTTGAAAATTTTCCTCATGCTGCAAATACAGTTGATGATGAGAATGGACACAACATATTACACATAGCGGCCGAGCAGAAAAATTTAGTACTGTATGACTACTTGCAGAAGACTGTTAACCACGCTGATAGAATGATGCTCGATATTGATTATCATGGCAACACCGTTTTGCATATTGCAGCCTCCCAGCATTATCAAGGACTCTCTGTTTTCGGACCCGCAAAGAGCATGACATGGGAAGTATTTTGGTTTAAGGTACACAGCCACCAGCATTAGTACCAGTTGTAGTAACAATGACATGCTGATTAATAATAATAACAGAAATTTTATTTAAGTGCATCAAAATCAATCACAGAACGGAGGTTCTATAATTGGTTTTTGTGCATTGCAAAATGAAATTATCATTCACAACTATTGTAAAATAATGGTCAATCCATTCTGTTCCATTTTAAAGGAACTGTTATACATACAATAACAAGGGTAAGAAATGATCATTTTTATTCAATTTCAATATTGTTTTAACTCTCTTTCAATTTCCACAGCGTGTACAGGATGACTGTCATCCATCTTTTTTATATCATCGAAACTATGATGGGAAGACAGCACAAGAAGTTTTCGAAAAAAACCACATAGAGATGAGAAAGGAAGCTGAGAAAGCAGCCAAAGACATGAATAGCGGCTTGATGCTTGTTTCAACTATCATTGGCTCTGTCAATTACGCAGCACTTTTTACTCTCCCGGGTGGTTTGGACCAAATCAGTGGCCTACCTATTTTTACCAACCGAACAGCCACTGAACGGAGTGATCTACAGTTGTTCTCGTACTACATAGGAGGAAGCCTAGTTGCTGCTTTACTGGCGTTGGGAACTCAACTTTCAATTCAATTGTCACGATTCGGTAACAATGAATTTCTCATTTCATTACCATTCAAGTATCTTCTCGCAAGCACAGCATTGTTCTATGCCACCAGCTTCTCTGTCACTGCATGTTACCAAACATATATTCTCGAGACTGTATTCGAGAAATCGTTTTATTGGGCTATGTTGATTAGTTTTATTCTTATGATCCATGTTTACATAGACTCATTATACCCAACCTTCAGTTACATGTACGAGGTAATTCGTCATTATCTTACTTACAGATGGAAAAAAATGTAGTCTGCGACTTTAGTAATTTCTATTTGAGTCACTCAGTCAATCCGTCATTCATTCAGTGGTTGTATTTGTGTGTTGTGCAATTAATTAGCCTGTGACTATCCATTCTGAGAGACAAAGATATGTAAGATGAAATTTGTGTGTTGTTAAGCTTTGTTGGCTTTTTAATTATTGTGTAACTTTTTAATTATCGTAGGTTAGTGGTTTATTTTCATTTTCACAATCAGTGCTATATTTTGAAGATAATATGGAGAGTAAAATGAAATTTCAAATAAAGGATAAGTGTCACATCACCAATTTTATATTTGATTATAGACGATAATTGACGATAAAAAAAATTGATGCAAAATTCAAAAGTTCAGATATAAAAATGAAATTATTAGAAAAACAAATTGATTTTTGAGTGATGGTTTGAAAGGCAAAATAATATTTCTTTCTTTGTTATGCATAAGAAACTCGAAAAGGGATGGGATATAATTTCCAGAACTACAAAGAGTGTATTTTAAACAAATCTTATAAGGTTTTTGTAATTTACCCATAGAACTTTTGTTTAGAATTTTCTACAGAAAATGATATGATCTTTTTATTTTCAATCAAAATAACCATCATAGTTTTCATAATTTAAAAAATGTCAATAACATATAACATTTTAAGCGTGTTTTTTTTTTCTTCTTAAATATATATATATATATATTTGCTAAATGATTATCCTATTTGTCATAACTACTTAATTGCGTTCGAGTTAGTCCCGCTTTTTTAATTAACATTTCAATTTGCATTTGCGTTTATTGCAGTGAACAAACTTACACTTCCCAACCACATCTCATCAAACTCATATTATGCTTTCCAACATGCTGACTCTTTTAGCATTTCTTCTCTATATATACCCACTAATTCATGTTGTTCTCTTCAATCTAAAAGAACAATTCTTCAACTACAATACAATATTATCAAGCTCCACAAACCAACCTTCCAAGATCCTTAAAACAATGGCTGCTTTTCATACTAGTTTTGTTCTATCTCTTGTTTTGATGTGTTCATTTTCAACCATCCAGATGAGCTTTGCAGCTTGCAATCTACTGCAAACAATTCCATCACTGCCTAAGGTCACATTGCCTCCATTGCCCACAATGCCAACAATCCCTACCTTGCCAATGCCCACATTGCCACTACTTCCAACCACCCAAATTCCATCAACTTTACATAATCCAACACTGGCAACCATGCCCACAGTTCCTCAGTTGACTCTACCCTCATTGCTAGCAACTTCACTGCCAACCTTCCTAACTACAATTCCATCAATCCCAACCATCCCAACAACAATGCCAACTATTTCTTTCTTCTCACCTCCTCCGTCGAACTAGGACCCCAAAGTGATATGTTCTCATTCATCTTTCTCCTTTGTAGAGTATAGAGAACAAAGGTGCTATGGTCATTGGCAGTTTGAGAGGGTCCTCCTTATGTGCATGTTGTCATTGTCTTTGTCTTTGTTTTTGAGGATTTGTGAAGTCATTTTGTATCATTTTGCTATATTGAGATTGTTCTGCATTGTTTTTCATTATGAAAATGTTAGGATCATGGACACCCAGAAAAATAAACAACAAGCAACCACACACAACTGAGACACAAATATTTACGTGGTTCGGCCCAATGCCTACGTCCATGGATAGAAATGAGAATTTCACTAAAACAGAGCAAATACAAATAAGAGGAGAAGAACTACTCTCACTCAACTCACAGCTCTCGGTCTCTCAAATTTCTGATACAATTCATCATCTTCCTTTTGTCTCTATTTATACACAAAGATGAGAGAGAGAGAGAGAGAAATCCAACAAAATTTTCTGCCTTCTTAATGGTGAGAGTCAACAATGGCAAGAACGTGAAGAGAAGGGAGAGCTGGCCTTGCAGATGCCCAGTTCAAACTTGCACTTGCAATGGAAGTCATTGTATGCCATCCTCCTTGACTCTCTACTTGCATGCATGGGGTTGGAGCTAACAATTCTCCCCCTCCATACCCACATGCATGACTGACTTCTCACTTGAAGTCCATCCCGGTAATGTCTCTGCAAATTTCGAGTTTGTCTCTCGAGACCACCTTTGTAAGCATGTCAGCTAGATTCTTATTTGTATGGATCTTGATTACTTCCAATAACTGCTTTTTCCATCACTTCGTGTATCCAATGATATCGAACATCAATGTGCTCCGTGCGAGAATGGTACATAGAATTCTTGTTCAAGTCTATGGCACTCTGGCTATCACAATGTACCGTGAACTTTTCATGCTTTAGTCCTAGTTCTTGGAGAAACCATTTTAACCACAATATTTCTTTCCCAACTTCTGCTGCGGCAATATACTCTGCCTCAGTTGTGAATAAAGCAATACACTTCTACAGTTTGGACTACCAAGACACAGCTCCCCCTGCGAAAGTGAACATAAATCCTGATGTAGATTTCCTACCATCAAGATCGCCTGCCATATCTGAATCTGTATAACTGTCTAAGATTTGTTTTGCTCGTCCAAAGCACAAACACATTTTCGATGTACCCTTAAGGTATCTCAGAATCCACTTGACTACTTCCCAACTTTCCCTAGATTGGAAATATATCTACTTACAACTCCAACAGTATGAGCAATATCTGGTTGGGTGGACACCACTGCATACATCAAACGCCATACGGCGGATGAGTAAGGAATTGCCTCCATCTCTTCTCTTTCTTTAGTAGAGGGGGGACAAGAACTTTTTCTCAGCTTGAAAATGATTAGCTAGCAGAGTATTGACTAGCTTGGCATCTTTCATGTTGAACTTCTCAATCACCCGTTCAACGTACTTCTCTTGTGACAGCCACAACTTCTTGGCTTTCCTGTCACGCATAATTTTCATGCCCAAAATTTGTTGTGCAGGGCCTAGGTTCTTCATGTCAAAGGACTGTGATAACTCCTTCTTCAGTGATCTGATTACTGTGGTATCCTATCCAACAATCAACATGTTATCAACATAGAGCAAGAGTATGATGAAATTTCCACCAGGAAATTTCCTGACATATACACACTGGTCTGCAGCAGTTTTCTTGTAGTTATGGCCTACCATGAATGAGTCAAACTTCTTGTACCACTGTCTCGGTGTTTATTTGAGGCCGTAGAGACTCTTCTTCAATCTACAGACTAAATTTTCTTTCCCGTTTATTTCAAAACCTTCTGGTTGCTCCATATAAATTTCTTTCTTCAGATCGCCATGGAGAAATGCTATTTTCACATCCATTTGTTCAAGTTCCAAATTCAAACTGGCCACTAGTCCCAAAACTACTCGAATGGATTCATTTTCACAACTGCCGAGAAGATTTCATCAAAATCAATACATTTCTTCTGCCCAAAACGTTTGACAACCAATCGAGCCTTATACTTGACTAGCTTTCCGCTGCCATCTTTCTTCAACTTGAACACCCATTTGTTCTTCAGTGCTTTTCGACCCTGGGGAAGTTTTACTAAATCATAAGTCCGATTTTTCTGCAAGTACCACATCTCTTCTTGCATAGCTTGCTGCCAGCTACTCTTCTCTTTATGATTCAGAGCTTCTTGAAAACTTTTTGGCTCCCCCTCATCAGTAAGAAAAATATACTCAGAAGTAGGGTATTTTGACGACGGCTTAGACTCTCTTGTTGATCTTCGTAACTGTGGACCAACAGTCTCTGGCGGAGGGGGTTGTGGCTCCCCCAGCTCAACACCCTATTCTTCTAGATCTTCTTCTTCTAGAAATCTATCCTGTAACTCTACATCATTGGCTGCAAGCTGCGGTAGCTTTTCTTCATCAGTGGCATGTTGTGATAGTGCAGGATTAGGAATAATTTCTAAAACATCATCAACTTTGGGTTTGGCTGGTTACCCAAAGTCTTTTAAGGTTTGGCCTTCTTGCAATACCATATCTCGGCTTCGAATGACCTTCTTGTTTTTTAGATCCCACAATCTGTATCGAAATTCATCATCTCCATAGCCAATAAAGATGCATGGAGTGGCTTTATCATTCAGCTTTTGTCTGTGCTCCTTGGATACATGTGCAAATGCTTTGCACCCAAACACTCTCTAGTGAGAGTAAGAGATCTCCCTTCCAGACCATACTTTTTCTGGAATCTTAAAATTCAGTGGAACTGATGGCGATCTGTTGATCAAATAGCAAGTAACGTGAACAGCTTCTCCCAAAAATGGCTTTGGCAGCTTTGCCATTTTGAGCAAACATCTGACCTTCTCTACAATAGTCCAGTTCATTCTTTCAGCTATACCATTGTAACGACCCAATCTTGGCAAGGCAAAACCCCACCAAGAGGGTGCACCTCAAACGCTATAACACCTTTACACCAAATTCCTGTATAATCCTTACATCACATCACCACATCACCAAAAGTGCATAAGATCTTTCAATTGCCCAATGATCTATTCAAAGACAAAATGTATTATCATGCTACAAGATAGTTCCCAAGCATTTCCTCCCCAAAAATAATACATACTATTCACGAATCCATCAATACATCCAACTTCATGAGCAATTATTTACAGTCAACCTCCTTCATAAAAAAAAAAAGAGGTAAACTTACATCCTAGAATGACCCTAAGCAAAACCTCAACTACAAGATGCCCCACCTTTGATCCTTCAAAAAAATTCTAGTCTTCCAAGTTGAGGCGAGCCACCCAAAAGTCTATGAATCTGAAAAAAAAAAATTATTTAAAAAGAATGAGCTAAAGCTCAATGAGTATACCAATACCATGGAGTTATAAAACTTGCTCCTTCCAATTGGGTTCAAAATAAAGATAATAAACATAAGAGTTTAATTGGACTGAAATTTATACAAAATAAAAAAAAAATAAAAAAAAATGAAATATAATTTTCATAAAACGTTATCAAAATTTTTCCAAGGAATCTCATAAGGAAGAAAAAAAAATACATTTGAATAATGAAAGTAAACAAAAATACAACTTTTCAATACATTAAGATCGCATGTCCATCATACGAACCACTACATAGCCTTAGGGTCGCGTTACCTCGCGACTTAGGTGACGACGGTACCGTTACCCAAAACATAACCATAGGAATATAACTCATGTCATCGTAGCACTTCAATTCTTATTTCAATGTTTCGGTCCCCGGGACCCCTTATACATACAAC